TTGTATGTCATAGTTGCACATCCTTCTAGTTGCTGTATGTGGGACGTGGCCTCAGCATGGCCGGGCAAGCGGTGCGTCGGTGCGTGCCCAGGATCCGAACCCTGGCCACCAGTAGTGGAGCCCGCGCACTTAACCGCTAAGCCACGGGGCTGGCCCTTCACTTTCATTTTATAAATCTATATCATGTAATTTGCTTCCTTGTCTCATTAAACAGAATATACTGAATAGAGATCAGATTTTTCTTAATGCTTTTGGAGTGCCTCTGCCCCCTTAATGTCCTGTTACCGAACTTCTATCAATCTACCTTTACTGAACTTAACATTGTTAAGAAAACAGATGACTGAGTTTAATGTTATTTGAAATTCAAAGACTGACGCTGAGGGAAAGAAAGCTCATGGATTTAGTGACAATTCCTTGTTTTTAGTTCCTCAGAGCCTTTTTTAAATTTCTAGATTTGAATAAATGTGGACATTACTATGTTTATATATTTTACCTCTAACATCTTCAGTATATTTTCTGATTGATGGATAAAGTCATCTTTTGTCTACATCTTTTATTTCAAACTTCAAAATGCTGCCCTCTGCTGTCTAATATTTTGAGGTTTGATGAACAAACCTAGACTCCAACTATGCTTCCTCTTTCTCCTAAACCTTCATCTCTCCAGAAGAAAATAGAGTTCTAATTTTTGGGCTCTTGTTAGAAAGCCCTTCTGTCTACTTTATAACTTCAGTCTCATTTCTCAGGACCTTTTCCAACTCGGGTATGTCTTTCTTCAGGCATGGGGACCAAAACTGCACAGCACATCTAGCTGTGGACACTGAGTGGTTTTGAATACAGACAGGGTCACAAGTTTTATTTTGTTTTGAGTGTCCTTTCTGGTAATGCCTAGTGTTTTCTGGGCCTTTTGTAATGATACATGCAACATGGTGTCTTAAGGGAACAGTCTAAGCTGAAGCCTCTTTATTGAACAGTTTAGCTTAGAACCCCTTATTCTAAACTGTAATTGGAGTTGCTTTTCCCTGAATGTTCCTTCACATTTGCCTTCACTGATACTCCTTTGCTGTAATTTTTTCTGTTTACACAGCGTCATGAGAACTCGTCTTTTAATTTCTCATTTTGATTTCTGGAACAGCTTTAAGGCCATTTGCAATCTTGAAATTTTCAGTTCATTGCTTCAACAAATATTTATTGAGTACCCTAATGGAGAATGCAGTGATGAATGAGACAGATAAGCCTCTTCCCTCATAAGCTTACAGCCCAATGCTCTTCTGCTAGATCATTGGTTCCCAAAGCATTTTGAGTATGAGACCTCCTTTTTAAATTAATTTTTTTCATGGGCTCTCCTCATTCAGTAGTGGTATTTTTAAAAAAAATTTAACTATTTTATTGAGGTTATATTGGTTTATAACATTGTGTAATTTCAGGTGTACATTATTATATATTAGTTTCTTTATAGACCAGTAGTGGTGTTCTTAATGGCTGGTCATTGGGAACACATATGTGGATATGAAATTGGATCCCCTGTGGGTTGGGAACTACCATTCTAGGTAATTTATGAAAGCATTAAGCTCCAGTACAGAAATGGTCGATGTGTTAAAACTCCAGTGTTCATGGTTCCCCATAAATGACAATCACATTAAAGACACACACACACACACACACAACATACATGCACCCAAGTTCTATGGAATTCAGGTTTTTGTTGTTGTTTGGTGGAATTTTGGGATTTAAAGTCTATAGAGAGCCAGCTCCCTGGCTTAGCGGTTAAGTGTGTGCGCTCCGCTGCTGGCGGCCCGGGTTCAGATCCTGGGCACGCACCAACGCACTGCTTCTCTGGCCATGCTGAGGCCGTGCCCCACATACAGCAACTAGAAGGATGTGCAGCTATGACATACAACTATCTACTGGGGCTTTGGGGGAAAAATAAATAAATAAATAAAATTATAAAGTCTATAGAAGTCTGCCTACTAGTTCTGCCATAATCATATTGTTTTTGCCTCAGAGAATCCTAATAGGCTAATTAGGCCTGATGAGGCCCTTTCAAAGTTAAGATGTTCCCTCCCCCGCACCCAGTTGATATGTTTACTTAAGTGTTTGGTAAAATTTCCTGGGCACCTAAGTAGACCCTATAATAAAAAATGGGAATTTATAATCACTTTTGTTTTTAGTTTCCAGATTTTCCCTGAATAGAAACTTATCCTCAGAGAGGATATAGTGTCAATCTGCCAGTCTTGGGGTTGTTCTTCACCCCTAAGGGGGTTGCACATATTGTAGCATGGTTCCACTGTCTCACCTTTGAGTGAAATTTGCTCTCAGTCTAGGCCCCACAGAACTGGGGAGCCAGCTTTGCCTGTTGACTAGGCCGCTCTAGATCACTCAGTGAGCTCACCATGCCTGGGTCTAGCTTGTTCAGATGCTTCAGGGTGAGCCCTGCTCATGTTGGCCCTGGACGTTGGGTAGGGGTCGTCACCAGGCTGTGGGCCCTGAGTACTGCCCCCAGGCAAGGGAGGCGGCTGTCTGTGGTTTGCTCGG